CACCCACCCTTCACTTTTTTTTTTTTAATATATCGTGTTAAGATATATGATATCTGAAATTAGATATGATTGGACATTAGTTATTTTATCTTAAAGTCGATCATGTTTATCTCACTTCAGATATCAACTTTCAAGACCGACCTACTTTAGGCTCCAAGTATTGATGTGCGCTCAAAATTTTATTCTTTGACTTATTCATAGGAACCCTTATTCTTAATTTCTTATATACATATAGTGCTAGATATATTCAACATAAATGTAAGATCGACCGTGATAATAGAATACATAATTTATAAAGATTTATAAGATAGAATAGGGTACCCATTTGAGCTATTGCAAACTGTAGAATGGGTTAGACCTTCTATAAATTATAAATTTAGCTTAAATTGAGGAATTATATTCTTGTCATCCTTTAATAAAATATCATAAAAAGAATATCAAATATTTCTCTCTCTACCTGTATTTAAAATATTCTAACCAATATTTTATCTCTACTACTATCAATATTAATAGTAGTTATTTTAATATCACTTCTTATTTTCATGTAAAAATAGTATTAATAATAATATTACATATTTCAATTTTCAGTGTAACTGATCTTTAATTTTCTCCGTTTATAAACTGTTTTTGGTTACAAAAGCAAATAGTTTATTGTTATATTTGTTATTTTGATAATGTTGCTGTGTTTGTAATAATTTCTTTAAACTGAGCTACTTATATTTTTGAATCTATTTATGTATATATAACATGAGTTGAATTTTTAAAAATATTTTTCTAATCTAATTCTCCACCCAATGACAATTCAAACTCAATTAACTTAAAAGCTTAAATGTATTATAATATTTATATCATTATGCTGGGATTAAGAATTGTATTTTTGTTATTTTACATACTTTATTTCAGAATAAAGGAATAATTTATCTCAGTATAATTATTAATCCTGAAGTAAATTATTCCATCTTTATAACTAAACAAATGAATTAAAAACACTTAAAAATATTTTGAGATTAACTATTCTTATCCCTCCTATCAACCGATCGGAAAGTAAAATTGCCGTCTTGGGTCCAAACTAGAGGAAAAGTGATTTTGTCTTTTATTTCAAGTATACACACATGTCAGCTCATGGCCAACTACAATTTTCAATTATTTTTACTCTCCTGGATCTATTTTTTTTTTTTATGTTTTCGATAATTCTAATGCTAAGTTCTGACTTTTTCCTAAAAAAATCAATTATATAATTTATAGTACTATGTACTTGTCTTTCTTTTCGACCATCTCTTGTACAATTTTAATATTTTATCTTATCTCCAATGAGACATTTTATATTGTCTTCTCTTTTGTAAGTGCTTAATAAAATATCAAATGATATCTTAAATATACTATAATTAAGAATGAAAAGATCTTTCAAATTTATTTATTTTAAATATGTTGCAAAAATTTGTCATCATCAAGAATAAATATTCCCTTTTTTAGATTATTATTTTAAGTTGTGTGAATAGTATCGTTTTTGGGACCAACAAAATATTAGATTATCATTTTAACATATACAAAAATTTTATATCATAATTTATTATTTTCTCATAAATTCTCAATGTGTTCAAAAGGGATATTTAGAAATTTAAAAAGATGACTATTTACTAAGCAACCACGAAAAAATTGTGTAAAAAGACTTTACTAAACTTTTTATCTATAACTTTTGATTGAACAATTCTATTAGAAAAATCAGTGAACTTTTAGTGGTTATAAAAAAAAAGGGAATATTGTGAGAAAATATTTATGTCACATAAGTTTGTTAGTCGATTTAATCATCTTATATTTGTGTATAAATGTTTTTCATATACTATTATACACTTTTATATAAGGTCAATATGTTATGTATAAGGCTTTTTCTCAGATATAATATTATATATTGAACTACGTAGCGATGTAGATAGGATTTCCTATAAAGAACTCATGACAAGGTTCAACAATGGTATCTTTGAACATGGAGAAAACATGTGCAAATCCTCTAGCTATAACTTTTCTTATTTGTTTTTTCCTTCTTGGTACCTCTTTCAACATGACTCTTATTTTCCCTTTCCACACAATCACTTCAATAATCTTCTCAATATTCCCATCTTATATTACTATTACAAATAATCAACATAGTAATTCATACTTTGTTGAATCAAAAATCAATCAATTATCTCAATATCCTCCTATTATTAATAATAATCCTTCGATACCGCGATTCGCTTACTTGATTTCGGGATCAAAGGGTGATCTTGAAAAGTTATGGAGGTGTTTGAGATCAATGTATCATCCATGGAATTACTATGTTGTTCATTTGGACTTGGAGTCAAATGTACAAGAGAGATTGGAACTTGCTTTAAGATTGAAAAAAGATGAAATTTATACACAAGTTGGAAATGTGTATATGATTAGTAAAGCAAATATGGTGACATATAGAGGACCAACTATGGTTTCTAATACACTTCATGCTTGTGCTATTCTACTTGAGAAACATAAAGATTGGGATTGGTTTATCAATTTGAGTGCTTCTGATTATCCTTTGGTTACTCAAGATGGTTAGTACTCTAGTCCTTTATCACACTTTTTATTTTTGTTAAGCGATGTTCACACAAATAGTCAGACAGATTTACTGTTTACTTTTTCAGATGATATACATATATTATACATCTGCCAGTTGTTTTAAATTAAATCAGTTAGATGGATGACTTTTAGTTCCACCCTAGTGAAGGGCGGAGCTATATTTCATGAAATTGAATTTCTTAGTCGAAAAATAATATTGTATGACATAGATTAAAAAATAAATTTAGTCTGTTTACTAGGAAGATGGCCATCCAATTCGAAGTGTTCTTCTGGAAAGTTTCAATCTTGTTGACTATGTTTTTGTATCTATATAAATTGTTAAATTCGGTTGATATGAAAGAATCTTCTATATAACATAAATAAGAGTGGTTTAAAAGTATAGAGATTGCAAGTCCAAATTCTGACAATTAAAAGGAATGTGTACACTCTACTTGTGGAATCACACTGATATACGTTATTGTTATTGCCTTCTCTAACAACTTAAACGTTTAAACAAGATATCTCTGATTTTCCTTCTTTTTTTCCTTCTTTATACAGATCTACTCTACACATTTTCTGATTTGAAATCAGACTTGAATTTCATTGAGCACACAAGTGAGCTAGGTTGGAAAGAGTATGTGTCTAACTTAATTAATCCTCTTGTGACTATGAATAACTCACTATTCAAGCTTTAATTTTAATGATATAATATATTTTATTATCATTTTGCAGGGCCAAAAGGGCAATGCCACTAATTATAGACCCAGGATTGTACAAAACCACAAAGTCTGATATATTTTGGGTCACACCAAAAAGACATGTTCCCACAGCCTTTAAACTCTTTACTGGTATTTTGACTTCATAAAATTTACTTGTAGTTACCTTTATAAATGATTTGATTGTGTAAATATTACGCACGACTTCGATGCATAGAACTTGAACTCTAAAGCATGTTACAAACATGACACAGGTTCAGCTTGGATGATCCTTTCACATGCATTTGTGGAATACTGCATATGGGGATGGGACAATCTCCCAAGGAACCTACTTCTGTACTACTCGAATTTCGTGTCCTCTCCAGAAGGCTACTTTCAGACTCTTGTATGCAATGCACCAGAGTTCACTTCAACTGTTATTAACCATGACATGCACTATATTTCTTGGGATGTTCCTCCAAGACAGCATCCACATACACTTACCCTGAATGACACTGCAAATATGATAGCAAGTGGAGCAGCGTTTGCGCGCAAGTTCAAGCAAGATGATCCTGTTTTAGACAAGATTGATATGGAATTACTTAATAGGAGTAATGGTAGCTTCACACCTGGTGGTTGGTGTGCTGGAAATCCTCCTTGTTCTATAGTTGGAAATCCAACAAAACTTAGGCCAGGTCCAGGGGGTCAAAGGCTTCGACGTCTTATTGGTAAACTAGTATTGTCAGCTAAATATAGTCAGAACCAGTGTAGTTAGATTTCTTTTGTATTTTCATCCATGCTGATCCACAAAAGCAGGAGGGGACAAGAATGTAACATTAAAAGAGCCAGACAACAATATCGGCAGTGAACTCGGTCATTTGTCGAATAAACAGGCCAGTAGATAAGAATATAACACTATAAGATCATCACCACCAACTGATTTGAACAAAAGTTTAACTTCTATGCACGGGCAGTGTACAAGTTCTCCACACAGTCAGGTAAATATGACCTGCAATGATAGGTCTGTCTATGGTATATATAGTTTGGTAACATAATAAACAGTAAATAATTCAAACATGTTACATTAGCCATTATCTCCCACTGAAACGATGGAAAACTCTGTATTCATAATTTTGCATGTTTTTTCTGTCAAACAAGTTGGCTGGTCATGAACAGCATACATATCTTAGACAGAATGTGCTCGAAAGTGAATAATCTGAAATGTTACCTCTGCCTCCTTGCACTCGCGTGTTTAGCAGCTGATCAGATCAGTGTGAACTAAATGAGATACAGCATGGATTCTAAGACACTGCTTGTATTCTTCTACTTACTGTCATCAGGCAAAGATATAACATTCTGAAATTTTCGTTAGAACTCAAAATTACAGAATATACAAAGAGAATAACACTTGCATCGCTTCTTCCCACACCCCCTAACCAATATCTATTTACAGCACATTCCACCATGAGAAAAAACTCATGCTTCCATTGAGCTGCTTCAGCTATGAACTAACTACAAAAATATTTGTTTCTTGATGGCAACTTCCTTGTTACCATGGCATCGTATCGAGTTTATCACTTCTACGACAATATCTTGGTGTAAGCCCCTCATTTACATTTACTGAACTCCTCTCCTTCACACCTTTCCTCATCTTGAAGTAACTAGTCAACCTTTAGGGAATTTAACCACATCATACCATCTCCAAGAGCTTGATATTTCCCATAGAATTTGCGGCAACTAAGGTAGGGGACTGACCACGCCAACACACAGATGAGATGAACTGTGCACTGTCCTCCACTTCATCGCCAGAAAGCGGATCTGTGCAGTTAAATTTAAATGACAATGCTGGCATGGGAAAAGCTTTGTGGTAGATGACAACCTGCAGCATGACACAAAGTACCAATTACACATTAATAATGGAAAATTGAGCAGCGATCAGCACTAACAGTCACCAGAAATGGCATCAGATGGTGGAATATATTGTTCGGACTCTTCGAAAATATTGACGGGTGCATGTAGGATCCTCAAAAGTAGTGTATTGTTGGAGGATCAGACATGGGTGCGGCAACATTTTTGGAGATTCCGAGCAACATACGCATAATGTTCAAATTCTTATAAGTTGGGACTCAAAAGAAACCTGCCTCAATTCAAAGATGAACTACACATACTTATTTTATTTTTTTGCGGTGGGGATTGTGGGAGGGGAATGATTACAGAAAAATCACAACCTTTTCGAACCAAATTTCCTTTCTCTGTGTGTACATTATGTGAGGAGAGAACCAGATTAAAAAGAACTACTCAAGATACAGGATAATTAAGTAGTTTCTTCCTGTAGGCAGACTGTTAAATAGTTAAGGTTTGGAGTTGGAGGCTCGATAATATGGACTGAAGCTTTTCGCACATAAGGTATGTAGAGCATTATCTAAGTACTAAATATTCTGCTTTGGGATGTACCAGTCTATCACTTCATCTCCTTGTATAGTTATATATACTTCAAAAAAGAATGAGCACTTCATTCTTCAAAGGATCAATAGAGGCTCAACAATACATGAATCAGATTATAAATATATTTTTTTTATCAAGTAAAGGTATTTTCATTCATAAACATGGCCAAACTGGCCGTATACATGGGGTATACCAAATTAAAAGGTGAAGATTCTACAAAATATGATTCTCTACAAACTCCGCCCAATCATCTATACAACAAAGAACTTTCTATTTACACCAAAAGAAAATAAGGGAGCGGAGACTACTCCTCAACTGAGGGAGACTCGATTCTACTCCTTCAAAAGCTCTCCTATTACACTCTCTCCAACCTACCCACATTAATGCAAGTGGAACCACGTTCCAAACCTTTCGTCTTCTCCTCCTTCTCCTGCTCTTCCAACTGAACATCAAATCTTTAACAGTTCTTGGAATTGCCAAGGGAGTGTGAAACCACTTAAAACATATCAAATCATATATATATATATATATATATATACACTTCCTCCCTCCCATTTTATGTGGCACCGTTTGACTTGGCACAATATTTAAGAAAAAAAGGAAGACTTTTGAAACTTGTGATCTAAAACAATCCTTAGATATTTGTGTGGTTGTAATATTTATGTGAATTTAGAGCCATAAAAAGTAACTAAAATCCTTTGGTTTCCTCTTGAAGCCAAGGAGAACATCTTCTGCAGACTGTCTATGAACCTACTTGTGCAAAAGATCAACTTAAGGTACCAACTGACAGTCTGAGGCAAATAAGTGATAGCCATCACAAGGACACATGTAAGGATGTAATTGTTTGATTAGGGCTAGTGATCCCATTGATGTGCACATCTCAATGCCGTACATGCACAATATAATCTAAAGACAGATCTATACATGTCTAAATAAAGACGTGTAACATATTGCACAAGTGGCAATTGGCACAAGGTGAACATGCTCAAGACCCACTGTGTCGTCTAGAACATGCAGACTACACCTAGTGTTGAGGGTGCCAAATTCCATTTCATAGAAGTGAGTTTTGACCAGTTTGTACTTTTTTCATATTGTATTTCAGCATGACTGGTCATATTGTATGCCTTCTGGTAAAAAAATTCATTTCATGATAGTCATTTTGTATTTTTAGCATAAAATACTTGCTTTCTCTACCTTTATTGTAAACAGCTATCTGGAACTTTAAACAAAAATTGCAGCCGCATGTATCTTGATGCTCAAGGAACCAGTTCTAGTCAACTATTCCCTTTAATATGATGTAAACAAACATTTTCGGTGCAATTATTGCTCATAACTCATTTAAAATGCACTCAAGTACACAAGTACAGATTTAACTTTGCGGTAATAAATGATACCTCATTTGTCTCTGAGCCAGTTGCTATGTAACCATCAGATACAGATAGGCCAACAAAGTTCTGAAACAAAGAAATGCTTTCATCAGTAGCAAAGCACATTCAAGCACAATTACATTATCACGGGAAAGGGAAGATACAAAGCACAAATCAGGAGTAAGTTGTACGCAGAAACTAGAGACATGATTCGGTTACTTTTAGTCATGTCTCATAAAGAAGAAACTGGTGACAGTGTTGATGATACAAAGCAACTAATCTTTTTAAGGTATGGCTGAGAATTACTTTGTAGATGCATAAGCTTGTATGTACTTTATATAAGTTTCGAGTCAATAATCTATCATTTGAATTACTACAATATAGAGAGAGTGCACTATGACATAAGAATGCTTGAAGTCGTGTCATATAGGCAAGACTGGAACTTGATTGTCTAGCTATCCTATATAAGCTTGAGCATATTTATTAAATTTATGCAACATGTACACATATTTAATCCCTTCCTTTCTCTGTCCACCTCTTCTTCATCTATTCATTCTGGTTTAGTCCCTGTTGCTGCTCCCACCCTATTATTTTTTTTGTAAGCCTCTCTCCTCTCCATTTCCTTAACCCGCAACAAAAGCTATTCAAATCTCCATTCTAATTCATCTATTTAAAAGTCTTCCATAACAGTGGAGCAGGAAAGGCCTTATAGGTAGATTCTACCAACGGTAGTAAAGAATCAAGCTGGTAGTCAACAATCCAACTTTACTCGTGGTTCTAAGGAGGATCAAAACTGGCTGCAATCGAATAGAGGACGGGGTATGTTTGGGAGAGGGAAGGGTTGAGACTCATTTGGTACTAGGTAGTGTAAAGCCCTGAAACTTCTAAACAATTATTTGGGCTAATTACAATCCTAATTGCATGATTCAGGTAGTCCTGAGGTGTGTATGGACCCAGATGAAGGTGGTGAAGTGTATGGGACATGATAATGTATGCATGGTATACAGAGGCGGATCTAGGATTTGGAGGTCGTGGGTGCCACATCGTTCAAGTAAGATAAAAGGATCGGTTTCTTTAATTTTGGGTTACAATTCGGATTATTAATCTTTTTTTATTTTTATAAACAAATCGATCAAATATGCATGTTAGTAATATTTTCTTTTAGATGTTCTGAGATTAGAGATAACTAAACAATTCAGTTTTTATTTCCTTTTTGAAATTAAATGTCTTATTCGCTGAAACTTTGAGGGAAAAAATTTCACATTAAAATTTGAGCTTGTATAAACCATCTAATAGTATTAACTTAATATATTCATATTTCATTGACTTTATGTGTTGTCGGAGATATATAGTAGGGAAAGAATAAAAATTGTAATTTCAGCCTAATCATCTTACTTAGCAAGAACGTCGGTGAAGATCGAAAGAACCTTTAAATTAAAAAAAAAACTCTAATAATAATATTCATCATATTTAAAACTTATATTTTTTAAAAACTACTATTTAAATGTATTCTTAATAATATTTATTTGACGTTCATAATTCAGTACTTATTAATTGATAAAGAATAAACACGTAACACTCATATCAAGTGATTAATAATTAGTGAAAGAGAAAGTAAAAAAAAGTAGTAAATAAATAAGAATGAATGGAGAAAAAAAAATTAAAGCCCTTTACACATTAATGAAAAAGACAAAAGAGAAAAGAAAAGAAAAAAAAGGATTAATGAAAAAGACAAAAAAGAAAAAAAAAAAAGCAAGCAAAAAATAGGTGATATCACTGTATGGGATTTTAGAATAATTAACTGTATGGGCAACTTAGATCTCTCTTAACTATATCACTGAGAATGTTACAAGACAACATACTGTTCGATGAGATCACAGAAACAAAAATTTTATCCAGGTGATAGGATCAAAGTATGATACCTTTACATTCATATGTCCTGTAAATGACTGAAGAGGAGAATCGAGAATACGAGACGTGCAAGTTGACAGATCCCACAGCTTTATTGTATTATCCGTAGATGCAGACACAAGAGTTGTTGAATCTATGAACTTGACATAGCTCACTGTCTTGTTGTGCCCAATTAATGTGCATAGAGGCAACTTTGAGTTTCGTAGGTCATAGTAATATATCTTATGATCTGCTGAACCAAAAGCAAGGGCCCGTCCTGAATCAACAGGGAACTGAACACAGCAGACATTGGCTTTTGTTTTTATGGTTCCAACACTGACTCCCTGTGGCAAACAGGTTAGACAAACCAACTTATTACACATCCACATTCAATTAACACAGCAACAATAACTAGATGACTGTAGTACATTTAGTTTTAAAGCTGACATCCACCAAGTGCAAAAGTAGAATTGCCTGATTGATATTCCAAAGCTTCACAGAACCATCATCGCTCCCGCTTGCCAACATGGTTGGATCTGCTAAAGAAAAATCAACAGACCAGACGCGTTTCTCATGCTCTCTCATCTCCATGAAAAGCTGACTTCTTGTGACATCCCATACCTGTATTATGTTTCTAAGCAAACGTCTTCCTGCTACTGCTAAATAAACAAGATTGAATGATCATGCATTTGACGTACCTGCACCACACCTTCAAAGTTACTTGAGGCAAGCTGGCTTTTGATATAGCCATTCCAACATATACTGCTTAACTTTGATCTATTAGCCATTTCAACGACTGGATAGTGTATATCACGATCCGCATTTAGAATTGAGTTATATTCAAAAACTTTGATCTTCTTATTTACACCAGCAGTAGCAAAAAATTCACCATCACGATCAAAGCTGAGAGAACATACGAGATTGGAAGGGTTTAGAAGATCCCCTTGCTTTAAATCTGCCTTCACTTCTAACTTGCTAAAAGAAAAGTACTTGCACAGACCCTCCAAGTAAGAATTGATCCATCCCCTCTGTCTATCACCATTGCACCCTCCCTTTGATGACAAATTACTAAGAGAACTCCTTTCAGTAGCTGTAGCGGAACTTTTACATTCCGGACTTGTTTGACAGTTTCTACTCATAGATTTGTCCCTTTTAATAACCCTGCGTCTCGTCATGAAATAAGCTGCCTCCAATTTTCTGAAGTTTTTCATCAACCGGGAACTTTTTGACGAAATGCTGCTTTTATTTTCAATATGCCTTTCGAATTTCTGGCTTTCATCTGGATGGCCATCAGATTCCTCACCTGTGCTGGGCCTAGACCTCTTTCTAGATCCAGAGCTCCCTGAATCATGATCTACAGTAATATTTGTCCTCCGAGAATTCAAATGCTTAGCTGGTTCTAAGCTTGAGCCTCCTTTCATCTTAAGGGGTGTCTGCATCTCAGTGGCCTCTTCTGCTGGTTCTACGCTTGAGCCTCCTTTTAACTTGAGGGTTGTCTGCATCTTAGTGGCCTCTTCTACATCAGACGATAAAAAAGACACGATTTCGTGCAAATTTTCCACAGCCTCCTGCTTTTTCTGTTGGATTAGTAAAAGGAACTCCAGCAATAATTCCTGCTCATCTATTTTTTCTCTAAGCTCTATTGCTGCTTCACGCTCTTCCAAGTCATGTCTTGGAGTTTTAAGGAACTCACTTTCTAGCAACTCACTGTCATCAATTTAAAGGAATGAATGAGGAAAGAGTGGCAAAGAGTCAAGGATATTGATGTTAAGATGATCAACTGCATAATATTCATTTTAATGAAAATCCGCTGAAAGCAGCAGAGGAAGTAGAAAGTTCAGGAGAACAACGAGATGTCTGAAATGAATTTCATGATCAGATAAAAGGGACTCATTCAGTCAGATAGTACTCATTTGAAGATAACTTATATGTCATTACGATCCATTTTATTTTACCATCAATATTAGAATTATTTTACCTTACCCTCCTTTCTACTACAGATGTAATTTATAAGTTTCAGAGATGGAAATTGTCAAGGAAATCAGCAATGATATTGCAGATTGTATTGAGACAAAGCCTTTAGAACAGATTGCAATATGCTGAAGAGGCAACCATGGAACTGCAGAATCAAGCCATCCACAGAGGACGATAGAGCTGCTGATTGGTTAGCTAGTTATGCATGAAATATAGTACTGTCATATCTTCATAAATCATATATAAACACCCTCCCCTCGGTGGGTGTAACTAGTTTACTTCTTACAATGAAAATGTTCCTACTCCCAAGACACTAATCTAGATTATTATATTGATCAATTCTTAATTAAGAAAAAAGGATACTGCTATTGCAAGATATGTAAAAAAAAAAAATCTAGTTTAATAGCAAAAAGATAAGTTCGCATTGCTGCATTTGCCTTTATTCCTGCGGCTAAAATCTTCATTCCTGCATAAGCTAAAACCCATGATTCTTCCCTTTCGAGTTTTGTGCCACACAGGGAAATAAACACTTTGGAAATCAAGCTTTACAGGACCACAATGAAGGCTCTCAAGGATAATGTTATATATCAGTAAACATTACTCCTAGAAGACTTCAACAACAACCTGATCAGATTGCAAACAAATAAAAACTGGCATGCCTGAAGGAAAACTTTCTTTGGCAAAAACGAATAAACCAAGTGGACGCAAAAAAAACAGAATGCTCACCCCACTTTTGGCCGACTACTTGGGTCCGGGTGTAGTAACCATAAGCAAAATGAAGCTTCCTTAGACCATTTCAACAACAACTGTGGGGGTAGGACACGATGTCTTAGACATGACATATTTGCAATTTTCGCATCTGATGAGTTGAAGGTGCAGTATAGCTGCTCACAAATTATAAGCATCATTAAGACAAAACATCATCATGGAGGATACAGTAAAATTTAACTGAGCATACACCTCAACGCCGCGGAGTTGCTAACTACTGCTACTAACCTCAAAGAGAAGCACTCCGAGTCGATAAATGTCTGAAGCACAAGTGCCTGGAGCATCATTAACCTCTTCTGGACTAGTATACCAATTAGTTTCCAAGTGCAATATCTGTTTCATTGGAAAAGTATGCTTGTTGTTTTCCTCCTCTTGTCTATTCTTACTAGCTTCCAAAGTCTGCACCAGATGACCTGAACTTGACTGCAAGCAACTGCTTTCAGATGCTATAGCAGAGTCCTTCCCAGGAATCATCTCAAGTTGCAAAGGTGAAGATGAACTGTTTGGTTCATCTTCACATGAATCCGATCCCGAATCAGAACAGGAAGCAGATTCAATAAACGCAACACGGTTAAATGAAGACATAACAAAACATGATGGCCGCACATTATGAACAGCTATCCCTTGAGTATGTGCGAGTTTTACAATCTCTACAATTTGAGTAAATATATGCATACATTCAAGAGCATCAACAGTTCTCTCTGGATTATCCAACCAATGCCTCAAACTAACATCTTTACGATCGATTCCTCGAAGCCCTTGATCTTTAAAGCAATTAACATCAGATGACCCAATTCTTTCCCACTCTTTTGAAACAAATCCAGAATCATGAGATGCATCACTAGACAACCTGATAGTACTTGCAGAACGAAATCTTGAATTCCAATCCACAACACCTGAACTATTCAAACCCCTTGAACTCTCAGACCTCTCCCTACCAGACTGAGATGAACCCTCCATTACTATCCACATAGGACAATGCACATAACACCCACACAATCAAGAAACTGGAAAATCCTCAAACTCCTAACACAACCCCTTACTTCCAACATAGCCATATTGAATCAAGAACTCATTTTTACAACAAAAAAATGTCAAAAAATCACCTCACACAACTCTACTAGTATCACCTTTCAAAACACCAACCTTCTTTTCCTACATAAGACATCTGAGCAAAGTCTAAAAATAATATCAACAGAGAAAAAGCTTCAACCTGAGCTTGTATATCCGCTAAAGAGCAAAAAAACAAAAACACAAGAACCACACAACAGATACTGCAGCTTTACAAAATATACAAAACAATAGTACATACTAATACTATATTTTATTGTAAAACAAGTACAACCTCACAAAATTGGTGATAAAAATCAAATCTTTTTCCTCTTTAAACGGGATGTGTGAACAGAAAAAAGAAAATAAAAGGGGGGTTTTACCATTTAATATTTCCTTTTAAGGGAAAAAGAGTGTAAATTAATTCAATGATGTCAATGGATTTTTCTATTACTTAAAAGGGTCCACTCATTATCTACAACTCATTGTTTTTTAGGTTCTATTACATCCCAGATACGTGGCACATTCACATCCTCAAAACACTGAGAGTAAGCAGAGATGCCAAATACTCACTAGTAATGTAGCTCATCTTCCAGTGGACCAAATACCAAGAAAAAATGTACTTACATAAATAATTCTACAGAAAAAAACATCTACAAGAACAAGGACCATTGATTTCCAAGATGACAAACTACTCATTTATTACCTTGACTATACTTTATACTTTAATATTATTATATAAAATAAATAAATTCTTTTAGTTATATTGCAACGTACCAAGCAACTCTAAAATAATATATACTCAAAAACATGGTATATAAAGATTAAATTTTGCTTTAATACGCGGTTGTAAAATTCCTTTAGGTTATATGTCAAGTCGTATTAATCTCATAATTATTATTTTTATTATAACTATTGATAATCATTAATGAAAACTCTGAATCCGCTACCTAATACTCCCTCCGTTTCATAAAGAAAGACCTCCTTTTCTTTTTAGTCAGTTTCAAAAAGAATGACCTCTTTCCTTTTTTGGTAACATTTTACTTTTTGCTTTCCACGTGGCATGTTTAAGACCACAAGATTAAGGGCAATTTTGCACATTTGACATAACTTTAATTTAGGACCACAAGATTCAAAAGTCTTCTTTATTTACTTAAACTCCGTGCCAAGTCAAACCAGGACATTCTTTGTGAAACGGAGGGAGTACAATATATGAATTAAAGATTAGAAATAAAGTACAAACCTTTACATCATTTCAAAGATGGGAACATTACAGCCACTTGGAAAAAAAATCCCTAAAGTTGACGTAATCCGGAATTGATTTATCATTAATTTAAACTGAAAAAAGAGTCACTTTTTCCTCAAAAACGCTTGTCAGCAAATTAGAGCATTTAGAATGTTTACATAACTTCAACCTAAAAATCGATTTTGAAGTTAGGTTTGAACCCTAAATTGGTCCAATTATATGAAATTGGCCCAAATTATATAAATTTCTTTCATCCTGGAATTTCTGTAAAAAAAAAACACGTTTGCTCATAAAATTCTTAAATTTCAGAATTCTTAAGAGTTTAAATACTAACAAAAAGTTTTTTTTATACTAAATTATTCGGCTTCGATTTGTATTTATGATGAAAAATAACTTTATTTTTCAAGATCAATTTTTACTATAATAATAAAGGTTTACATTATTTTTTTTAATTTATAGTTAAACGCCCATAAAGATTATGTGGAGATGGATACGATGGGACGATAGAAAGTTGGAGACATCATGCATTTAGGATTGGGGACACAGCCAGTTTGTGATGATGGGTTTATCTGGAAAAAATTCGATGAAAAATTATACTATTTATACATAGATAAATATATATACAAAAAATTGTTGTAAATAATATGGATAACTCAGATAATTCTTATGGGCCATTTATTTGGACAAAGGTTGGCCAAGTTGTTAAGCCTAATAATTAGATAGGGAGCTTATCAAAATTCCACTAGTTTAAGATATTATTATTTAGATACACTTTAGTTTACAATTATGAATTTTATCAAATTCTTGTACATTCAGATACGTCCAGATACATGTATCTCGAGATATATGGGGTCAAAATTAGGTATAAGTTGTTCTAAATACATTGTATATTCACATATATTAGGAATACATAACAAATTTCGTTTGTCTCCCTTGTCACTCTTTTATGTATCTGGTATCATAAATACATGTGAATCATACCAAATACATATATCTAGTGTGATTCTCATATATTTGGGATATATGACTATCTAACTCGTTTACCTTCCCATCGCACTGGTCTTTCTCTATTTTAGTATATTTCGTAGCAAAAATGCATATATCTAGATAAATCTTTTTCAATATGATATTAAACTCTTAATTAATGAAAAGATACGGAGTTATTTGAAAGTATAGGTGGAAAGGTAAAATTAAAGAATCATTTATAAGGGAAATAGTTATTTTTTATGAAGTAGACTAAAAAAAATTAAGTAGGTCAGATAAATTGAAACGGACGGAATAAGTAAAGTAGTAGTAGCAGAGTCTATTTAACAATGAAAACTTGTGCTACAAACTTGACCAAAGAGACAAGACACTAAGTAGAGTACTTACTCCTTTACATTTTGTGTTTAGCACAAGGAACTCTTATTTCACCATAGATAACAAAGTAATATTGTTATTTTATTTAAACACATATCACTCATATAGTTTTAGATAAATTGTTCTTGACATTCTTAATGAGCACAAGTGCAGTTCACACAGGCACAGCTACTGCCACATTTGCATTTTCCATCATGTTCTTCAGCTCCAACATCCATCATCACCACCGTATCGCTGTGTTAGCAGGCGAAGTCAGAATTTTAATTGTATATATAAATGTTTAAAAATTCTATATAATGATTATTTTAAATAGTAATAACTGTATTTTAAATTTGATATTTATATATATTTAATAAAATTCTTAATATAAACACATTATTTGAGTAAAAGTTAATAAATTTGACGAACTTATATTCAGACTTGTAGCTCCACACCCCGGACTACAAGAGGAAGAAAGACAAAAAGACAACATATACAACAACAAATTTAATGGCAATTAAGAGGCAAGAATTTCATAGAAAGAATTAAGAAAATAATCTACTTTGCTCTCCCTTTGTTTCAATTTACAAGCCTATGAAGTTTTTTCCATTACGAATTAATAAAAAATTGTGTTACGAAATATAAATTTTTTTCATTTATTTTTTTAAATCACTAGAAAAGCGCATGATAAAAAATAGATCTTCATTTAACTATTTTTTTAGTGGCAAATTTTAATGAAAAAATAGTGATTTTTTTAAATAGTGTTTTGTGTTCTGATTCGAAATATGAGAGTAAAAAATCAACTAATTTTGGGTGTTAATTCGGCAAGTATTTTTTAAAAAAATATCATAAAATAAAATTTATATATTTAAAAACTACCTAAAAAGTTTTAGAAGTCACAATAATTAATAAATCATGATTAAAAAAAAATCATTTGACTCTGGAAATAGAAACATCAATAGTTAAAAAATATTAGTACATAAATTTATCTTTTGGTATAGAAAAAATGAATCAATAAATAGGGGTAATTTTGTTTATTTCAAGTTATATTCTTGTTTTCGGGGAGTTAATTACCTCTTATCTACGATGATGATATCATACTGGTTTTCCTTCTTCCTGCAATATTTACAAACATTAATTTACATCGCTATACGTTATTTTCGATTTGAACTATATATAATTAAAAAATTAAAAAAAATCAAAATATATAGTTATATGCATTGACATAAATTGTGATAAAAGAATTAATGGACGTGGTAGTCATGTTTGTGAGATACAAGTATTACGGTATATCATTTGTGTACCTTTTTTTAGTTTGAGTAAAATTTGTGAGGTTATTTCTCTCGATATTTTGTACTCGTTTTTATATAGTGGATTGCTCATCTTCTCTTGTGAATTAGATTGATTGATCGAACCATGTTAAATATTTATTTCTCTATTGATGTATTTCTCTTTTGTCGTCTTACGTATTGTCTTCTGATGCTTATTTTGCTAGCTTCATGACACCTAATTATCTTGATCGTAACAATGTTTCACACCAATAAACTTAAAATATTAAATCCACCTCTACCTGTTTCGAAAGTGGAAAGGCATTTTTCCCTTAGACATGATTATACACGAAACTTAACTAATATTAGAAGAAAATTGATGACACTTCCATCCATTCACAACTTTTAAAAGTAGTATTCTTTTTCTTTGTTAAATTTCGTGTTCAGTTAAACTACGTCACATAAATTTAAAGGTCAATAATTACTTACACGCATTGGCTGACATCAGCGCAATCGCAACTACCACACTTGTTCGACATGTTTAGGAGATTGAAGCTAAGGGGGATGAAATAGAGTTTTTTAGTTATGTAAGAGAGCAAGTATATATTATGAATTTGCTACGCCTTGAATTATAACTATGAGATTGAGTTGCTATTTATAGATGGAAATTAAGGACAAGTTGGCATATAGGGCTAGAAAAGAGAGCACAAAGCTTTTAACAAAAAAGTTGGAAAAAGGAATCTACAAAAGGAGAGGAGGGCCTTACTTATCGTCAAATGTTGTGGTGGAGTGGTAATTAGAGATTTTGAGATTGAACTTCAGATATGGAATTGTCTTTGGTATAGAGAACATTTTATCATTCAAAGTGATACTTTTTTTTTTATGGAAATTCGAATTAATGAGACCCCAAAACGAATATCGAATACTGAATAGTGCCTTAGGCTTGGTTTTTTTTCATCCTCTCATGTCACCTTCATGTTCTCCAATATTCTTTTCTTGATCGAATTTACTACTCAAATCACTATTGATTCTTTTAGATATGGGAGTTTAAGCATTTTTACATTTATATCAGCCTAATAAGTAATAAAATTCATAAAATATTTACGAGCAACTTACATAAATCTCACTAGTTTAGGAGTTAATTACTTAGATTCACGCTAGTTTACAATATTATGAACTTTATTAGATTTTGGACTTTGGATACATGTATATGACATGTCCAAATATGTCTAGATACATGTATCACGAATATATGAGGTCAAAATTAGACCCAATTTGATCTCTCTCTCTCTCTATATATATATACATGGTATCCAAGTAGATTCATAGGTACCTGACTCTCTCACTCGCATCTCTCCTATCTCACTCGTCTCTCTCCCTATTTTAGTGTGTCTTGTAGCAAAAATACATATATCTAGATGTATGTAACTTAAAATCTGATTCTATGCAATTATTAATTAGCTAATAATAACAATCCATAATTTAAGTATTAAATTGGTAAAACAGAAATAGTTTAGGGGTTCTTTTAGGTATTAAATCAGTATAAAAAATGGTTATTCTTAACCTTCAACTCATCTAGATTCTTGAAACTCTTTGTGAAAAATGCCTTTTACCTTTTAATCTATTTAAAGGAAAAGTAATTTATTCGATGGTCCTCAATAATCCACTGATTTTTTTTGGAAATAAACAAAATATGTATATCTACATTGGACATATGGAAAATTCCAATTTTCAAATTATCAAAAAAGAAAATTCCAATATTCTATTTTGTATTTGTCATTTGATGATAAAGTTTTTCATGAGATGAGAGTTCAAAGGATAGTCTCTTTCATCAGTGGTAAAATCAAGAATTCTAATAAGGGGAATAAAAAAACATGTTAATATTACGAGATGATCGACTGAGTTGTTTAATGTTATTTTTAGGATATTAAAAATGTTCGAAAAGTGGAGATTGAGTATAATAATTTTATTATATAAAAATAAGAGAGATATTCAGAATTGCAATAACTATAGGGTATCAAAATGTTAAGCCACACTATAAAAGTTTGAGAGAGGGCGATGGAGATAAGGATAAGGCCAATTGTGTCTATTACCGAGAATCAATTTAGATTCATGTTGAGGTGTTCCACTTTAGAAGTCATTCATCTCGTTCAGAGATTGATATTGGAGTAGTATAGGGAGAGTAAGAAAGACTTACATATAATGCCTATATTGACCTAAAAAAATATACGATAAAGTCCCTAGGTGTTCTATGGAGATGTTTTGAGGCTAAAGGTGTACTTGTAGTTAGGACGATTAAAGACAAGTGTATATGATGAAGTCAAGACTCGGGTGAGGATAGTAGAAGGAGATTCGGAGGTCGGAGCAATTACCGAGATGGAATTGCAACATGGTTAACATGTTTTTATGTGTTTTGGTGATGAATAACATATCCTATGATATCATAGTATATTCTATTTTTCAATAACATATTATAATTGACGAGACACACAATGAAGTTAACAATAGACCGAAGGTTATGGATGACTAGTGCCAAATTCCTTCAATCTACCCTTCTCTTTTTTTACCAACTACGCACATCTACTTCTTCCATGTTTGGATCTATTTTTTTCGTGACGCTTTCCTCATCATTTATTAATCTTTTTCTTCTACTTCGTCCTTCTTCTGCTCTTTTTAAAAAAAATGATGTACTGTAAATGTGAATCATTTTAAGTAAATTATATATCAAAAAATTGAAACATAGAGAGGATTTCATATTTAAAATTTAGAATTGTTTAGAGAAAATTTTGAGTTAGTCAGAATTGAATAATTCGTATATCTTCATGTATAGTTAGTGTACACCTCACGTATAATTAAGTTATATTCAAAGCCACGTGACGAGCTCAATGTGATAGCCAAACTCGCCTCACTCTCGCCAAAATGGATAGATTTGAGTTGAGGGGTACGCGGGAAGGAATAGTAATATATTATTGGCTATATTTTAAATAGTTTGAATAAGTCATTTTTGGGCTATTTGTATAAAAAGACTACTCTTGTAAGAAACATCTTATAAACAAATTTCTTAGCCATTTTGTTCTTTAGATTGTTTTGAGATGATGAATTGAGATATTGATATCTTGTAGATGATGAAATCCCTATATTAGGACAACTTATTGTAGCTTAGTTTGATGGATCGATATTCATTGTTGATCGAAAATTACTTGCTCGTGATTTTATATTGGGTCACTTATTTGTACATTTCAAGTGAATTTTCTTTTATATTGAATTCAAGTTTTTTTTTTCCTTAATTAATTTTGGATTCAATTAACCATTCTTTCGTCTCTTCTCTTATTCCCCTCTATCTTTAAATTTCGTGTTTGAATCGATATTGATTGAATTTACTTGATTAAAATTGTAGTATTTATTTTCCGTGTCGATTTGATTCTAATAGTCCAATTTAGATCTCATCAAATGTATTTTGAACTTATAATTTTTGAATTGTAGAAAATCTGATGATTAGATTTTGAATAAATTATTTATAAATAAAGAATTTATATCTATTTAATGATAAATACAAATAGAAAAAATTATTGAATTTTGCAAAATTCGTAAGATGAATGGTAGCTATTTGCCACTTTAAGATGAATTATTTTTATAACTAAAGTAATTTTTTTTATTGATATGAAAATTCGCAGTTGTTATTCTTAAAATGTTGTTTAAGGTAAACTTTGCTCCAAATTAATTACCTGAATCATAACTTTAATATTTGTATTAGTTCAAGATACAATTTTTTCTCCTTGAAGTTCCAAATGGTTAATTACTTTATCCTATGTGGCTGGATAATGCAATCTGGGACCCACATATTCCTTTGTCGCCAAGGAAGATAAAACCATAACATTTGCGACCAATGAGAGGAAATGACAAAAATATCCCTCGTGTTTAATAGTTGTAAATTTAAAATACTTTTTAGAGCTGATATAACCATCGTTATAAAAATAATTCATATATACATTTACTGTTACACAAAGAACTCACATATATATATATATATATATCTTTTTCCTTTAACGGAGTTTGAGAAAAATTTAACAGTGATTAAGTTCAAAATAAAATTTGACATTTACTTTATTCTGTTTGCGTATCAAATATTCCCTATTTTGATAAATTTAAATAATCAAAATTGTTCAATACTTAAGAGGCTATTTTAAACCTAACTTCTAACATAATAGGCTTTTATATGATTGTTGTTGACCTAGAAGGATGATAAATTCTCCAGGGAGATTCTGTGAAGATGCTTGGAGGCTAGAAGTGTACCCGTGACTTACACTAAATTGATCAAGGACATGTACAATGGAGTCAAGATCTGAGTAAAGAAATTGAAATGATACTTAGAGCACTTTTTCATTTTGGTGGGGTTGTAACATAGATCAACCCTTAGCCTATCTTTATTAGCCTTGGTGATGAATGTACATGACAAATTCAAGATGATATGTCATGTTGTATGTTATTTGCGGATGTTGTAGCTTTGATTGATGAGACTCGCGACGGAGTTAAACACTAAGCTAGAAAGTTGGAGACAAATCATAGAGTCTAAAGACTTCAGGTTGAATTGGACCAAGATTGAATACGTGAAGTGCAAGTTCAGTGATATTATGCATGAGGTTGATGTAGAAGTAAGATTTGATACACAATTCATTCAAAAGAGAGGCAATTTCAAATATCTCTAGTCGATTATCTAGGAAAATATGGAGATTGATGAGGATATGTCATTCACCGTATTAGTGCAGTGTGATGAAATGGAGGCTCGTATCCGATGCCTTATGTGATAAGAATGTGCCACTAAAACTTAAAAGTAAGTTGTACAAAGTGGTAGTTAAACCAATTTTGTTGTATGAGGAGTGTTTGCAACTCAAGAACTCTCACACTCAGAAAATAAGAAAATAAGTGTCAGAGATGAGAATGTTGCGTTGGATGTGTGCATATACTAGAAAAATATGATTAAAAATGAGGAAATTCGAGACAAAGTGAGCGACTTCAATGGAAGACAAGATGTGAGAAGTGAAATTGAAATGGTTGAGACATGTGATGAGGAAAAACACATTTACCTTAGTACGGAGGTGTGCGAGGTTGTCTATGATAGATTCAAGAGAGGTAGATATATGTGGATCGAAGAAATATCACAAAAATATGTGATTAGACAGAATATGACACATTTATAACTAATCGAGGTTGACACTAGATAGATAAGTGTGGAGGACACGAACTAGAGTAAGAAGAATAGTAGGTAAGAAAGTGTTCATACTAATAGGTAAGAGGTATCGTCTTGCTATCCATACTAGTATTCATAGTAGTACTCTCGTAGTTTTTTGTTTTTTGACTTCAGTTACTATTATGTTGTTTCATATAGTTTAATTATAATATTATCTTGTTGTCGTATTATTCTACTACTCCCTATCTCATGCTTTTGTTACTCTATTGTGTTTCTTATATTCTTCATTACTTCTTTTCCTAGACTATTTTTTTTTATCTTAAACTTAGGATCTATCGAAAATAGTATCTCCATCTCTGCGATATAGATAAAATCTGCATACACTCTAATCTCTATCCTCCCCAAACTTCTACGATGTGGTATTCTAACTAGATGTGAAGATGTGTCGAAAATGTTCGGTACATATATAAGGGGT